AAACCCCAAAAAAAAAACCCTGGGGGGGGGGGGGGGGGGGGGGGCCTCAGCTATCAGTACTTCTCAACAAAAGAAATCGATCCAATGGTGGAATCGGACGGTAAGAAATCCAGAAATTCATGAAATGGAAGAACATGAGAAGATTTTCCACGATTCTTGAATGGAAAAAGATCAAAGGTGTGTGAAAAGGGCTAAAAGTGCCCTTTGTGGACCCTGTATCTGGAAGAACCCCTCTAGAAATCAATAAAAAATAGCAGTTCAACGTATTGGCTAGATGAATTCTGCTTAAACGATACAAGATTATGCGTTGTGCTATTTTTTTAAGATGTGCTGACGTGGCTAGACTTTTAAAAAGCCAATCTCTCATATATCAAATAAATAAAAGGGAATTTTCATAACTGCCACTGAATTTGAAAATACGTCAAAAAAAATATAAATAAGTAAAATAAAATTCATTTGCAATAAATTTGGTCAAAAATGTCACTTTTTTGATGTAAAAAGTCCATATTACCCTTAGTGACCATTTTAGGATCATTTAATGCTTGATTTGAAAGTCATTAATGTTGTGATGTGATGATTTTTTTTTATATTGTAATTATTAAAGATATGATTATTATATTGGATAGTATGAATTTTGGTAAAAAAAACACGCATAACTTCTTACCATTCACAAACCCTAAGTTCTTATCCATCTTCTTCATTTCATCATCAAAAAGATATTAGATTCATCATATATTTTTAAAAGTTAGCTATTAGAAATTATTTATATTTTCATCTTATAACTTACTATTTTTTAAATATTAAATAGAATATAGTCATATTTATTTGAAATTTTTGAAACTCTTATTCATTGATTCGTTTGATTCTTGATATATTTTTAAAGAAAAAAGATATTAACATCCTTTATAAAATATTAAGGATTCTATAATTAATTAACTATTAAGTTATTCTTTATTTATTTTTGGGAAGATGTTGTGATGTTGCTGTTGAGAATTGATTATCACCATTAATGCTTTGAATAATTTCTTTCAAGGTACCAAATACATGTTTTCAAGGTTTTCGACAATTTCGATAGTTCAATTATCGAATTCGACATTTTGAAATCGTCATATTAGATATCTTAATTGTCGAACTTGACATTTAGAAAATGTCGGGATAAATAATTTAACTGTTGAGATTCAACCATTTATTTCACCTTTTGTTATTGAATGGATTTAAATATTTAAAAGTGTCACTTTCATGCTATTAAAAGTCTACATATTGATTGTGCAGAGTTTTTACCATTGCAATCTCTAGTAATCATTTGAGATTCATTGTGTCACACGGGGAAAAGTTTGTTTATGTGGATGATGAATAAAAGTGGAGAATGGACAGAACCACTTTCGTTTTAGTTCCGACAAGTATTACCCTATGCACTCGTTATGGTAGAATTGACCATAACCGAACCATGTGTTCCAACCCCATTCTAACACAACTCATTTAACACAACTCATTTAAATTGGCTTGATATCTAAAATGAGTTGAAGTTGTATACTGAATGTTGCCCTGATAGCGTTGTACATTTTGAAATTATATTATCATTATCATTTTATTACTGTTTGCACATATTAGTCATGTTTAAGTTCACAAGCAAAATAATTACATAGATAAAAATTGCATACCATCCGATAAAAGGATTCTATCATTCTCGAAAAATGGTTGCAAAATAGAAAATTTGACTATAAAAAAATGTATAAGGGACATGTTCCCGAACACATTGTCAACTTAAATTATTATTAGCATTTTATTATCATTTATAGACATTGCATAATATCCTAACAGTTAAACTATCGGTCCCAATAGAAGGGTCCTATCATTCTCGACAGTTGGGTGTGAGCAGAAAATGTAACTATAAATAAGATGCATAGGAGATAAGCTGTTGCAGAACATTTGATAAAGATGTTACTATATTTATCCATGACAAAACTATAATACATAATTCAACATTTTTTTCGTCCTAATTGAACAATCCAACAAGTATGAAAAACGATAAATGATAAAATGTATTACCACATGTGGATGTAACCACCAAATAATGTTTATAACCACATTCTTGGCGAGTAGCAAAAAGAGGTCATTTGATACATAAATCAATTCTAATGTAGTATTAACAAATTTCGTCACGCTATTTCTTTTTCTCATTTCCTTAATGTATGGAGTTCTAGTAGATGCTGCAAGAAATCGAATGTGTGTCGATCATTGCCTTTTTGTGTTAACAACATCGTTACTTTCAATAGGTATGATGACCGCATCCGTCGAGCTACAAGTTGAGGGAACTTTCTCGTTGTCCAGGCATGACACTTCAAGCTCTATGACTCCTCCATCTATTTGAAAACAACACTTGCAACACTAATCAACATGAGTTCATTATTTCTAGTTTGCAAATTACAGAATAACATAAGAGTATTAAAAATTTTGAATTTCTCATAATTAATGCACATACCGTTCACCCCTTGGTTCCCACTAGGCAATTGACCCACATGATTATCCGAGTATGAGTTAATGCCTCCTCCATCTAATTGAAAACAACAATTACAATACTAATGGATATGAATTCAATATTTATAGTTTGCATATTACGAGATGAGATGAGTGTATTTAAAATTATAAATTCTTCAGATGTTAATGCTAAACACACTTATAAGAAATCAAAAAATAAACTATAATGTTTGAGAAATACTGCATTTAATTGTCGAAAAAAACAGTTCATATCGAAAGATGACTCATCTGTCGAACTGACACGAACTGTCGGGAACGATAGTTTATCGCGACAGATGGGTCACATAACTAATCTTTCGAGAAGTTCTTGTGTGTTCAGAATTCATAACTAAACACACTTTAATTGTAACAAATTAAACAATTCGCTTAGAAGATTTGATACCCGTGCCTAACTTAGAAAAATATAATAAATAAGATAGATTGGAATGATAAGTATAATACAACAATCAGCTTCTACAAACCAAATAAATTCAAAGAAATATGAAGTAAAAAATTGACAGAACGTGATATATTTATTTGGAAAAATATAAAAAAAATCATACATAACATCCAAAAAAATTTAGAAAAAATTAAAATGCCCAAAAAAATATAAACCCCAAAAAAATGGAGAAATCCAAATTACCTGTAAATGAACTCTCCAAATAAAGTCAAACTCAAAACAAAGAACAATCTAACTTATAGTCTAGATGTAGAAAACTCAAAATTGATGGTGCAATATAATCAATCCTTTCGTCAATTTTGCTATTAAAAAAAAAAATTGAAGGGGAAAAAAAAAAAAAAAAAAAAAAAAAAAAAAAAAAAAGGAACAATAGTAAAAAACTTGAAACAAAACTTTCAATTGATTGAAAAAATGCATATATTCGAAACATTACCTAAGATATTCTTCTTCCTTCTATATTGACGTAATAAACGGGATCTCAATATAAGAATTTGCACTCCATATAGTTTTCAAAGAATCAAGAGAGGAACTATAAAAAAAGAAGAAAAGAGAAAGGGGAAATTTCACAAAGAAAAGGAGAAAAATGAATGAGTTAATAATTAAATTTTTTTGCTATATATATATATATATATATATATATATATTGTAAGGACTTTGAAGTACAATTGTGAGGTGATTGATTGTCACATTTTCTCCACTTTTTGTACAACTTTTTATGTTGTCAACTCAAGAATGTGTACTGTATTTGAATTTTTAAGAGAGGAAAAAATATCCAAAATTGATAATTTTGCAAAGATTTTAAAAAAATGACATTTTTGTAAATACAAAGCCAAAAGTTGACTATTTTGGTAATTTCCTCATAAAAAAAAAAAAAATAAGAGTTGTCATCTCTAGCCATATAAGCCCTCATTCATTTCAACTCGTTTGAAACTCATTTGAGGAACGGAAATATATGGATGTGAGAACTCGGCGATGTCGACAATGTCAACATCATTGTTGACACGATGGTGAACTCGGCGTTCTTATCCCCATCACGTGCAATTGATCCTAGACGCTGTAGCGACAGAGCTGTAAACTATATTAAAGTACGATACTTTGACGCTAATGGCAACGTGAAAAATATCTCCTTAACCTCATTTCATTTGAGGGAAATAGTTGTTGTGCTTAATTTTATTTTATTTTTAACTTTAAAATCTTATTGTAATGTTATTATGCTTGAAATGTGCTCTAAAATAGTTTTATGAAACATTGAAATATTAAATTGAAAATGTTGAAATAGTTATTAGAAGAAAGATTGGTGAAGATGTGCATTTTCGTCTTCACAGTTCTATGGCATTTATTTTTTTTTCTATCATTTTTTTTTTACTTTTAAATGGAAAGGAAAGTAATGAACATCGATACTCCACAGATGAAGCTTTATGATTGGGGTCTACATAATTTAGATACAAAGTTAATTATTCTCCGGTAAATATTTGCGATAATATGTCTAGGTTTTCTAGTCACATTATATGGCTTGATGCTTTTGTAGTGGTAAAAATTTGATGCTCTATTTTCCTTTAGTTTCTTTAGCGATTAGAATTGATTATGGTATTTTTTTCATAAATGCGGGATATTTAGAAATTCTTTGATCCGAAGACGACAATCCAAATAGTAAATGCTTAGGGGTAGAAATTGACATTATTGTGCCGAATGTTAAAATAAAGTTTAATGATTAAAATGAGTTATTTTGAATTTTGCAAGAACTATGCATTCCAAATCGAGTTTCTTGCTAGAAAAAATGATGTGGTTTTATGTTATATAACTTTGACGTACAGTCGGGAAGGCCGTTGAACCAATGATACAAATGCTTGTCGAAGCCTCAACCAACC